TCTCTATTGCTTTGTGGGCTTGTGTTTTAGAACAGATTTTTATAATTGTCTGTTGAATGATCTGAGTAGCTGATGTAGTGTTTGCTGAGCAGAAAATCTAGTGTGTGTTGGTTTCGGTTGTGGTTGCACATCTTGAGCAGTTTGGGCTAGGATATTTTTTAGGGTTGCATGTGTTAAAATAATAACTGAATAAAAAGAAAGTGACCAAGAGGTCACTTTAATATCAAAAAAAAAAAAAAGTAAATTAGCAGTTAACTAAATAAAAATACTGTATATATATATGTTTTGCCTGAGATTGATATTTGCATCAGTTGACAGCTAACACATCTCAGATATTGATCGTTAGATGAAGTGCCTCAGATAATTTGAGATGTGTCAGCTGTCATCTGATACAACATTTTTTATTACAATAAAAATGAAAATATTCAAAATAGCAAATTGCAAATTATTTAATATATACTGCATATTTGTTTTATATAAACTAATTACATAGAAAACACTTTATTTTTTATATTATTATGCACATTTGCCTCCACTTTTTTTACAGTGGCATTAGTTATTATTACAATCAGATTTACAACTATATATTGTACAGTATAGACTTACACTTTGTAGCTGTGCTGCTTCTCTGATGATTATTTTGTTGGATAGAATAGCATCAAGTTAGGAAAGTTAGCAGCATTCAAAGGTTCTAATTCACTAGCAGAATAAAAAACATCAATGATGCCAAATTTAGACCCTAACTGATATTTATAATTTTCAGTTTTATTAAGTATCTTGCAGTCTCTAGTGTTCTTGTTACTGGTACCAACATCGTTAGGATTTTTTAAAATTAGTTTAATTTGATTATAAAGCTCTACATTTATTAACACCTTTGATTAATTGCATTCAGGTAGGCCAATTATGTAGTTATCAACAATATCATAAAACATCTTTGAACTAATGAATTCAAATTCTATTTTTAATAGTGAATGTTATTGAAGGTACCTGATAATGAAGATGGTTATAATAAAGATGCGATGAGAATTATTGGGTAAGTATTTCTTATTTTCTATTTAAACTATTTATTTGATTTTTTTTAATTACATTATTTTTAATTAATTTTTGACTTTCTAATTGATTGCTAGTTGATATTTTATTAAACTATTTTGTATTACAAATATTCATTATCCACCTGATGATTTTTTACAATTTATTATATGCTGCAACTAATATATTATTCATTTAATTATTTCAATTCACATCATTTTTCATATATCACTATTCGATGCTTTATTAAAATAATTTTGTATTACAAAAATTCATTATCTACCAGATGATTTTTATATACTATTTTACAATTTATTTTATATTTGCAACTAAAATACTATTCATTTAATTATTCCAATTTACTAAATACACTACATATTGCATGAAGGTCAAATATGACAAAAATACTGGTATATAAGTTATATCAGTTATAAAGTTTTTTTTTGTTCATTTTAGTTAAATGTTATTAATACGTTAGATGACAGCTAACGCATCTCAGATTATCTGAAGCACTTCATCTAATGATTGATTTCTGAGATAAGTCAGCTGTCAACTGACACAAGCATCGATCTCAGCCACAACATATATATATAAATTTTATTTAGTTAACTAATTAATTTATTGTAATAATGAATCTAAAAGAAATAATTAATTCATTTGTTTATTTTAAATACAGCACTCAACAAAAGTTTTTTTGAACCTATATCTCTTTATAAAAAGGTGCTACAATTTTGAAAATTTCAAATAAGTTAATATATATACAAATTAGATTATGTATTTCAGTTAAAGATTTTTAATTACTAGAAATAAATTTAGATAAGAGCCAAAGTTAGGAATTTTTCATTTAAAAAAATAATTTTATTCAAAGAAAATTTAATATATCATTAAGGTTTAAAGCTAAAACTTCTAAAAATTTTGAGTTTTATTTTAATTTGTCAAGATCTGACTCTTTTTGTATTGTATAACATTTTTTATGAATATCATGTATTTTAACAATTCAAATTTGATAATTTTGTTATTATTCAAATTGTTTCATCAAGATAATTTAAATGATATCAAAATTATCAAATTTGGATTACTAGATATCTATATAGTTTTGATTGAAAAGCTTTTACTTTATAATTTTTAAAAATAAAACTCAAATTTTAAAAAATTAATTTCTTAACAATTATCTCATCAAATCAGACCAAATTTTTATCACTAATATGGAAATCATTTAATTTTAATATCTAAATTTTTAGCTTTATACCTTAATAATATATTAACTTTTCTTTAAATTCAATTAATTTTTTCATTTTTTTTTAAAAAAACATCCTGACTTTAGCTTTCATCTAAAAATTTTTCTAATAATTAAAAAATCTTTCAAAAAATACATGATCTAAGCTACATATATACTAATGTTTTTGAAAGTTTTAAGATTGTAGCACCTGTTTAGGTGCAGAAAAACTTTTGTCAAACACTGTAAAAGCATAAATTTTATAAAATAAATATTGATTAAAAAAAATTTATTGATTTGTCAATAGCTTATTTAAATACAATGCTTTTAATTATTAAAATTTTTAAAGCATTCTAAGTAATATACTATTTATTTAGTGGTGTATTTAGAGTAAAAATTCTTATAAAATTATAGCTATTCTTGTTATTATTTTTTTTTATTGTTAAATTGTTGTTGAGTTTTAAATATTTCTTTTATTTTGTTCAAATTATGAATTAGCATAGTTCTAAATATTTGCAAACTCTGAACCAAATTAATAATTCTACCAATTATATCTGGTTTATAAGGAATCAAAATATTAAATAGCTTTTTCAATCAAAATAAAGTTTAAAATTTTTGATCTAAAATAAAAAGTTCTAAGCTCATTTCTAAAGTATAAGATTATTAAATTTAATAATCATAAATACTACAAGTGATAAAAAAAAGAGAAGTAAACTATGAACATAAATTAAAAAGGTATTAATTTTTTTAAAATTTTAAAATTCAGGGTTTTGGTTAAATAATTTAAATTAATAAAATTTAGAGCATTATTTAACTTATCTTTTGTACACTTTTCAAGTTTAATATGATCATTGAATAGTATAATTGAGCTTGCATTATATTAACAAATAGTTTATTAGAAACTTCACTAAAAAAAACTTCCTATTCATAACTATCATTTTTATATACTTCAAATATATTATTTTTCTTAATTGGACCTTTAGCCTATTTCATTATTAACTTGCTTTTTTTGTTATACTATCTCTGGTTGAATCAAAAATAAGTATATCAAAAATATATTTTATATATTCCTTAAAGAAATTGATCTATCATTTATTAAAAATATCTTTTTCTAAATTATAGGTAATTTATTTTACTATAGAATCCAATACATCATGTTCTTATATTAATTTATTATTAAAAGACTCTGCATTATATATTCTAAAGTTTTCTGTAACTTTAACATGATTATAAATCTTAATTATTACATCTCATAGTAATAGAATTAATATTACAAAATTACGCACATAAATTTAACCAAATTTTTTGTACTAGAAAATAATAATTGATTTTTCTATTCTTAAATATTTGCGAATAAGTTTTGTTGTAGTTCTAAAATAAATTAGATTAATTTTTTGTCAAGTAGTGTATGTTGAATTTGTTTATCTACTGTTTTCTACAAATTTAGTTTCTAACTCTTTTCTAATTAATGTATATCTAACAAGTATATTTTTAATATTCAATATCTCAAACAATAAAAGATTATTTGGAGCAATAGAAAGTTTATAAAAGATTTGGCTAATTATTTTTGCAATAGGATTTATATCCATAAATTGATACTAAAAATTAAAGCAAAGATTTAAATTTGTATAATTTTATAAATATAATTGTTTAAATTTTGATTATCTTTAAAATAATATTTTTAGTATTAATAAATTTAATAGATTCATAAATCACCTAATTCAAAAGATTATAGAATTCTAAATTTTTTTGTACAATTTTCAATAAATCACTATATAATATGAATAAATTTGTATCTTTAGTTTTCTTAACTATAATTCAAAATTTTCTTAATTCATCACTATTAAATAATTAAGAATTAACATCAACTAGTCCTTTTTAATACCATGAATAAATATATAAATAAATCTTTCATCAAAATAATAATACACAATATGCTCTACAATAATATTAGTTAAAGCATGGCTTATAATATATATATATATTTATTAAGAAGCACAAAAGAAGATATGTATATAGAGAGCCAAGTTGAGAACTTAGCAAGGCTTCATAATATATAAATACTATAAAGCTTAGACAAAGCTCTATATTGAATATATAAACTATAGAGACATAAAGTAAATATATAAAGGATATATTTACCAAGCCAAAAGTATTCAATAATTATAAAAGATATTAAAAAAATAACAAATAAAAGATACTTTTCTGAACTCTGATTTTGGTAATCCATAATTATTATATATTTTATAAATATTTTGTTTAATTTGCTTGAAATATTGTTAAAATTTAATTTGCTAATGATAGCACTGTAAATATGAAAATAATAAAAACTTTTCTCTAATTTATATTTATCAACTATTCTATATATTTATTCATTTTTTGTAATTAGTAAAAAATAAAATTTGTTTATTATTGTTTTGATTTTCAAATAAATGTAAATTCTAATAGTATCTTGATTGGTTAGAAATCCACCACCTAATTTTTGATTTACAAAGTAAAAATTTACAAATACATTATTAATATCCTATTATACTGCTTCCAACATTATTATCTTACTACAAACTAACAATATTTCACATAAAACTCTTTAAAACTTTACTATTTTTTTATTAAATAAACAACCTTATTCTCTGATTTATATTAATTTAAAATTAATATAATTTAATTAAAATATAAGCTATATGAACACATACTTAAAGATAAAAATATGGAAAAGAAAGCTAAAAAATTATGTGTATATAACAAAAAATTAACATTAATTTTCAACTTTATCAATTTTAAAAGTTTCTTTAGTAGAAGTATTAATAATTTTCAAATTCATTATTACTTTCTGATATATCTTCAATTTAATATTTTTAAATTCATCATTACTTTTTGATAAATTTTCAGTTTTAACATTTTCTAATTTATTTTTACTTTTTGATAAATCCTTAGTTTTAACATTTTCAAATTCATCATTATTTTCTAATATATCTTCAATTTAAATATTTTTAAATTTATTCAATATTATTTTGAAAAAATAATTAAAGTTTTAAATCAATAGTTTCTAAGATCAATAATAATGATGCAAACAACAATAGTTTAACCTATTGAATCTTTCAAATAATAACATTGGTTGCTTGGAGGAAAATGTATTAAGGGTTATATTATTAATTTATTTAAAGTATTTGATAATAATATTTTTGATATACTTAACCTATTTAATAAAATATATCCTTATATAAGAATAGTAGTATTTGTCATTTAATATACAAAAATGCTCTTTAATTTAAATTGTTTCATATATCTAGATATAATTTTTAGATTTCTCTTATTTATCATTCCAATTAAGTTTGAGTTCCATTTTATTAATAGTTATTGACAAGATTATAAATATAATGCAATTGAGTTGTATGATTAATTGTTGAAATAATTATACTTCAAAATTAAAAGTTAAGCTGATTTGGTTTTACTTCAAAATAGCTTAATTAAAATATCAGAAATAAAATTTATAACCTTAAATTTTATCTTTTTGCACTTGCTTTTTATTCATTACTAAAAATTGCACTCCTTTAAATTATAATTAGAAATATAATCAAATTTATTTTAATATTCTTATTAAAGAGAAATAATCAAAATAATCAAAAATACTGTATAACCGAACTCTCCCCAACGATCACTCATACCAAACTTATGGCTAATGAAAACAGAAACTTGTTGGAGAAAAGTAGAAGAGACAACTATAATAATAGTTTTTACAGAGGTCAAGGTTTTCATTTCTATTCTCCCAGACTCCTCTGTATATTCAGTATGCAAGTTAAAAGCATTCTTATACAAGATAACTAGCAAGAAGGTGGTGCTATTGTATAGAAAATTTTAATAGAAGCTCTGCTTCTGCTGACAAAGTTAAAGATAGTTGGTCTAAGGAGAACAACAAGTGAGTTTTTAACACGTTCTTTACTGAAGTTTAAAGCTATTCGCAAACCGAAACCCTCTTCTATATTCCCACTCTTGGTCTTTACAAAATTTCTTCAAAAAGTGAGAAAAACTGCGTACTCCTGTCAAAAGATCGATAACAACAATCACTGCTAAAAAAGAAAAGACACGTACACATATACATGTCTACTTTTGGTTATAGTGTAAGATAATGTAATAACATTTAAAATATTGCAGAAGACGTGTCGATGGGATGAGATAGCATCTAGAAGTTTTGACTCTTGAAGTTCTACTTTAAGACCGGATGGTTTTTGATATTTTTATATTTTGGATATATACATAAATAACTAGCATAGAGTTTAGTCTAGATTATTTGTAGTACTATATAATTTTTACAATTTCGCACAGATTTAATAGTGCATCTTTGTTTTCTTTTTTTTGTTTTTCTTTTTTTCGTTATTCGTTTTATTTGGTTTTATTAGTTTAGGTGAACCAGAACTCGATGCCGTAGTATTTTCCTATTTTGTTATGCCCTTTGTATTTGTATTTGTATTTCATTTTGTAAAAAGAAAAGTTAATTTGGATATGGTATATGGCATCAGCCCATGACCAAAGAATAACCTCTAGTAAGTTAGGGGCCCAGAGAGAGGCTTGAAGTCCACTGAGGCAAGTCATACCTGGCAAAAGTGTGGGTACGTCACTTTATAGGTAGATTAAGTATAGCTATTATTAAGGAATGTAAATTTCTTAGTATAGTTTAATCTCAATAAAAAGTGGCAAGACAGCCGAATTATAAAAAAAAAAAGTAATACAATTAAATGACAATTAATACATCATTTTAGAAGGTTCTGGGGCATCCTGGGGCACTTCATATATTTGTGTTACTTGTGTAACCTTGTTCTATACACTGTTATATTAAATGAACTAATAATCTAAATATTAAAGCAAATATTGCTTTAAATAGAACTCTGTAAAAGTATACTAATAAAATATATAATAACTATTGTATAAATATTTAAAATAGATATAAAATATTATAAACTATATAAATAAACTAATAAAATGATAAATAAAAATTAAACTAATAAAATGATAAATAAAAATTAAAGTATTAAAAACTCTTTCTGTCAATTACTTACACAAAACTTATCTAAAAATTTGCCAGTATAAAATCTTTAATAACACAATATTTTACTAAGATAACTGCTCTTAACATCTTAAGTAAACTTACTCAGCTTTTAATTTTACATATAATTTAAGAGTTTTAAGTCTTTATTTTGAAAACTTATAGCATAATGCTACAAAAACTTCTTTTGGTTTTAGAATTCAAACTTTTAACTATTTCTTTAAAACTGTCTTTACAA